CGGGCCAAACGCTGCCAGATCTCATTTCCCTACAGAAGCTGGAAAACTGGATTTTTAAAACATACATTTCCCAATCTTTAAACTTGAGAAACCAATTCACTTCTAAAAAAACACAGTGTGGGCCAAAACCCCCACAAAAACAAAAAGCGTGTTTGTGGGTCCATGTGCTGTCTTTTCTCTAACCACAAGTCATTCTTTCACCCCCGCAAAACGCTCGGACGTCGTGAACCCTCTCAACTACCCCAACAGGACTTGCTTTTGCCTGCAGGTTGTAAGCTTGCAGATGGACCTCGTGTGGTCACAGGAGCAGTCCCGGCAGTGTAGTGGCTGCCCGAGATTATCGATCGGTCACTACCCTGGCCCAAGCTACGATCTCTGCCACCTCCTCGAAGCTGCACGGCTGCTGTAACCAGGTAAACAAACCTAAGACCTTACCCGCTAAACGTTGCGGGGCATTTCAATAGCTTTGAAACCAAGACTAAACATTTATTGAGTGCTTAATGTATAGTAATTCTCACGCCAACTCTTCGAGGTGGGAACTGTTCGTTTCCCCCACTTTGCAAGCGAGGCGTCACCAGCAAGGGGGGCACGGATGACAGATTCCACTCAAGGGATGGCAAGGCTCTTACTTTCACCACAGTAACCGGACGATTAGCCTCCCACGAAACGCGCAATTAATCGCCAGCGAAAAGCCCAGTGGGGGACAGTTAGGAGCTGGACCGGGGACCAGACTACCTGGGCGCGAGTCGCCGCGGCAACCCCTCCGCGCGTCTCCGCTACAGACAGCCCGGCGCCGCGAGCTTGGCGACCGGAAGCTCGTCTCTTGACCGGTGCCGCCACACTTGCGTGTTTCCCGGCCGGAGCCTCTGCGCATGCGTGTCCAGCCCGCGCGGCGGAAGTGAGGCGTCCGGCGGGCTGGGTTGCGACCCTACCTGACTACGCGCTCTCCCGCGTCCCTACGTCACGGCGCCGGGGCGGAAGATGGAGGAGCTCTGGGCCAGCAGTTGCTGAGCGGACCCCGACGGAGCTGGAGCCCGAGTCCGAGCCCGAACCCGGCCACTCGGGCTCCTCCGAGTTGCTCTGTCGCCGTCGCTATGTCGCTGCTGCAATCTGCGCTGGATTTCTTGGCGGGCCCAGGCTCTCTGGGCGGTGCTGCCGGCCGCGACCAGAATGACTTCGTGGGACAGACGGTGGAACTGGGAGATCTGCGGCTGCGGGTGCGGCGGGTCCTGGCCGAGGGTGAGGCCTGGCGTCAGCGTCGGGTGTGTGGGGATGGAGGCCACTGCCGGAGGTGCGGGGCCGTGCGTGGAGGGTCGTCGCCGAGGTCGTTGGGGCTAGGGACGTCACTGGGAGGGGGATGGGACAGGGTTGGTGTAGGGGTCACCGCAGGACGCGGTTCGAGTGCGGGGAAGTTGCCGCGCCCGGGGATGTAGGTCCGGGCCGGCCTCGGAAAGTCCCCGCCGGAGGCGTGGGTTGACCGGGGAGCATAGGTTTCAGGCCGACCGATTCCGGGCGGGGGATGCCGTCGGGGGGTTGTGAGTGGGTTGCGTTCGGCCTAGGGAAATCACATCCGGGGGCGTGGGTCGGTCCACCCAGGAGAGGGTCACTGCTGGGGCGTGGGTCAGGCCAGCCTCAGGAAGTCGCCACCGCAACGGGCGTGAGTCAAGGCTTGGGGGCCGGGAGTGGGTGGGTGGGTATCATCACTCCAGGCTTGAGGTCTGAGCTGGCGTGGTAGGAGGGTCACCGCCTGCATGGCTGGCCCCCAGTGGTGTGAGTCAGGCCACATCCAGGTGACTGCAAGGATACCGGTAGGTTTGGGGCTGGCCATTTCATTGCTGGGGGGGGGTGGGGTCAGGATGGGACAAGGTAGTCTTAGCTGCAGGTATGGGGCTGACCTGAGGTTGGAGGGTCTTCCTCGGGCCTTGGGAGTCAGGCCTGGACAGCAGGCGGGGCGCTTGGGCCAGAGGCCACGGGGCACATGTGGGGCTGGAGTCTGGAGATGAGAAGTATGGCTGGATGGTAAGCCATGGGCCTTTGGTTCAGGTTCATGGTGTGGTGGTATGGGGGACAGGAGCCTACTTGT